GCTTGTGTGTGTTCCTGTGTGTGCATGCAGGTAGGTATATGTGCTTGTGTGTGTTCCTGTGGAGATCAGAGGTCATTCCTCAAGTGCCATCCACCTTGTTTTTTAAACCGAGTCTCTCATTGCCCTGAAGCTTGCTGATTAGGCTAGGCTGGTTGGCCAGCGCCCCAAGGATACACTGTCTCAGCCGCCACAGTCACCTGGCCTGGTTTGTTTATGTGAGTGCTGAGAATTGAACTCAAGTTTTTATGCTTGTGGCAAACCTTGAGTGACTATGCTATCTACCTAGTCCTCCACGCCGCTAATATTTTTATTAATTAATTATTTTTTTTGAGATAGGGTCTCACTATGTAGCCCCGACTCTGTCCTGGAACTCACTCTGTAGACCAGGCTAGACTCGAACTCACAGAGATCCACCAGCCTCTGCCTCTTGAGTGCTGGGATTAAAGGCATGTGCTGCCGACAGGCCTGGCCTCTCTTTTATCTTTTTTGAGTGCTCAGAAAATGTATTCTGGTAACCTTCCAAGATACTCTGAAATGTCAGTTCACAATATTTGGTACCAGGGAACAAGTCTGGACCCTAGGACAGCACATCTATTGCACTCTCCCTTATAAAGTGGTAATGGAGGAATTTACCCCGAGAGGTCCTGACATTCCATCTCATTGAATGTCTTTAGAAAAATCCTTCTCAGATGGCTTAGAGGTTAAGAGCACTGACTGCTCTTCCAGAGGTCCTGAGTTCAATTCCCAGCAACAACATGGTAGCTCACAACCATCTATAATGAGATCTGGTGCCCTCTTCTGGCCTGCAGGCAGAACACTGTATACATAATAAATAAATAAATCTTCTAAAAAGAAAAGAAAAGAAAAATCCTTCTCTAAGCTTTGGAAGTCCTGAGAACAGGAAAGCATTGATTTGGAGCAGAGCGAAGTCGGTGTGAGCAGAACAGGACGAACTTGAACATAAATGATGTCATCACCATCACGAGGTTCCCTCTTAGCTGCCTTCCGAATTTGGGTCTCTGGGCAGACCTGGTCCTGAAACAGTCTAAAACCTTCGGGGGAGCAGACTGTGATCAGTGGCATTGCTGACCCAATTTGTCTGCTTGGAGGCAGGGCCTGCCACTATTCGGTGTCCAGGTTTATACCAAACTCTTCCTCATACACTGTCCCTTTCACTCCCGACAAGAGCTCTCCATCAGGGCTGGAGAGATGGCTCACTGGTTAAGAGCCTTTGTCGTGCTTGAAGAGGCCTCAAATTCGGTTCCCAGCATACTGAGCAGCTCCTGCCTGCCCCTCCAGCTCCAGGGCATCCGACACCTCTGGCCTCCTTGGGCACCTGCACTCAGGTGCACATACCCACATATAATTAAAAATAATAAAATAAAAATCTGTATAAAGCCAGGTACTGTGGTGCTCACCTTTGACCCCAGCACTCAGAAGGCAGGAACCAGCAGATCTCTGAGTTCAAGGCCATCCTGATCCGCATAGCAAGACGCAGACCAGCCAGAAAACTCAGAGGTTAAAAGTGTGTGCTGCTCTTGCAGAGGACCTGGGTTCGATGCCCAGCACCCACATCAGTTAACTCACAACTGTCTGTCCCTCCAGTTCCAGGGGATCCGACACCTCTGGCCTCCTGGGACACCTGCACATACATGAACACAGGCACACACACATACATACCCAGAATTAGAACTACAACAAATCCTCAGAGAGAGGGAGAGAGACTAGTGAGGAGTCTGGGAAGGGATGAGAGGGGCCACAGCAGCCAGGGGGGACAGAGAGCAACAACAAGCTCAAGCAATATGGGGAGATGGGGAGAGCTAGACTTGGATCTAACCACAGGCCATCAGCTGTGAGCACTTGCTCTCACACAGGTAGCGAGGTGGGAAAGAACAAGATCAGACCCAAAGTCAGAGGTTCTGATAGACCCACCCTAGCGCTCTACATTGTCGCGTCTGTCCTATCCCAGGGGTGGGATGGCTCCTGGAGCTATATCCGTCCAGAGTTCTTGGCTCCTCACAGGGGTCTCTTTCTCTCCAGTCTTCACTCCACACAGTGGTTTTTGGTTTTGTTTGTTCATTTTGTTTCAAGACAAAGTCTTAGTAGGTAGCCCAGGTTCACCTCAAACTCACAGCAGTCCTCCTGCCTCAGACTTCTGAGTCCACATGTTTCTAAGCTACAGAAAAAGAGGTTCTGAGGTTGTAGCAAATGTGTCAGGTCCCAGTCATCTCTGCCCAGCACCCAAGTTTCTGTATTTGCTGACAACCCCTTCCCAAAAGTGTGAATGCTCTGTCTGAAGGGTTCCCTGTTGACCAGAGAATGTTTGACTCATTCACAGGGCAGACCAGAAGAGCCAAGGTGTTAATGTCCCCAGTAGCAATCACCAAGCAATAAACAACGCCCAGAGCTTCTGTGGACATACATATTTCAGTTGCTTATCACTGGCAACAAACCTAACCCAAATCAAGTGTCTTTTGACAACCATTGTTGTTTCTTTGTTGGGCAAAGTATTGCTCACCTGTAACCCCGGCACAAAATCAAATACAATGAGGTCTTAGGGAACGTTAAGCAAGGCAATCATAAGACCTTCTTTTACTCTCTTTCCCCCAGAGAAGATCAAGCTTGCTTCAAATGCACTGTGGAGACCAGGTTGGCATCCAACTTTTCCAATCCTTCTGCCTCTATCTCATGAATGCTGGGATTACAGGTATATACCATGATGCCCAGACTTTTTTTTTT